AGAGAAACATCGATCAGTTGCCTCCTGCACACCTCCTACTGGGGATGTGCCCGCAACCCAGGTACATGCCCTTGACCGGAATCGAACCTGGGACCTTTCAGTCCGCAGGCCGATGCTCTATCCACTGAGCCAAACCGGTTTCAGCCCTTTTGTTTTTTTTGATTTTTGTTTTTTCCCCGCCCCTCAGCCTTTTGAACTGGGCCTGTCCCTTACCCTCTGCTGCCCCAGCAAACCTTGATCTCCATCAAAACATGGGGTCCCGCCCTAACCGGTTTGGCTCAGTGGATAGAGCGTCGGCCTGCGGACTGAAAGGTGCCAGGTTCGATTCCGGTCAAGGGCATGTACCTTGGTTGCGGGCACATCCCCAGTAGGAGGTGTGCAGGAGGCAACTGATCGATGTTTCTCTCTCATCGATGTTTCTAGCTCTCTATCCCTCCCCCTTCCTCTCTGTAAAAAAAATCAATAAAAAATATATATTAAAAAAATTAAAGAAGTAAAAAAAACCCATGGGGTCCCATGCCTAACTACTGGGGCTATTGGGGCCAGCGGCTAACTATTGGGGTCAGAGGGCCAGGGCCAGCCAGTAAGGATGGGGAGCCAGCCTGCCCCTCCTCTCCCAGCAGGTCCCTGGACTCCCTGCCTGGGTTGTTAGTAATAACAACTACTTAACAAGTGGGGCTGCCGCCAAACCAATTAGCGCAAACCCACAGGACAGCCTGGGGCAAGCAGAGGTCACCTGGCACCCTGGTCTCCTGAAAGCAGCCTTTTCTGCTTTGGGGCCAAGCTCCCACCCCACTGGTAGGCTTAAAAGGACCCCAGGAAAATGTCAGAATGAGGTGCCACAGCCTGGGCACCGGGAAAGCCCAATGTGGTGGAGAGGGAACTGCTAAGGCAGCGAACATCTGGGCCAGAATGATCCCGTTAGGGCAAGGGGCAGGGGCACTGGGTTGGGCTGAGATGTTACTGTGAGTACAATCTGCCACCACTTACTGAGCACCTACTGTTACCTGGCCCTGTCTAGGCGTTCTATATGTGCTGTCACACCCTCCTACGAGGGGGGCACTGTCACTCCTGTTTTATAAACGAGAAGAGAGGTTCCGGGAGGTCGAGTGACTGTTCAGAAACCAAGTCTGTTGGGCTCCAAAGTCCAGGCCCTGCCCCCAGCCCTCCACCGGGACCTCGAAGCTGGCAGGGCAGGCATTCTTAGCCCATTTATTCAGATGCACAAACAGGTCCAGAGGAGGAAGTGAGTTGCCAGCTAATGAGGGCCAGGAGAGACTGAACCCCAGACCGCCTGCTTCCCAGTTCCCACGACATCAAGCAAACAGTCCCTTTTACCTGAAGGGTTCCAAGCAATGACCTCATAAATCTAGTACCTTACAGAGGGAGGCAGACGACTATCATTCCCCCCATTTGCCAGATAAATCAGCGGGGGCACAGGAAAGGAGCTGTGCCTCAGACTCCTGCCACTCTGGTCAGGAAGACAACCCAGGAGTCCTCTGGCTCTAGGGCAGGGAGGACGCTTCGGGGCCCTGGGGCCACTGGGGCCACTGGGGCCACTGGGGCCGCAGGGCAAGGTCCCCTACCTCCTGGCTCTTTCCACCGCCTGTCATGTGGATTCTGCGACTCGGGGACACCTGCTTCGGCAGCAGGTGGGGTCGGGACCGCCTTCCCGAGCAGTGTGCTTCGGTGGGTTTGCCACACAGACTCTGGGAAGGGGCGCGGGAGGGGCGCAGGTCTCTGCCAGGCTCTGGCAGGTGCCCGCTGCCTGGAGCCGGTCAGGACCATCACCAGGAGGGCGGCCAGCGGCAGGTGTGGCACCAGGAGATGCCGCG